AAGCACTTGCTGCAGAAGGTCAAGGACTGCAGCCTTCAATATGGATTGAGGCTCAATGTCAAGAAAACAAAGATCCTCACCACTGGGCTGATTAGCAACATCATGATAAATAGTGAAGAGATTGAGATTGTTAACAGTTTTAGTTTGTTTAGCTCCACAATCAACACTTTTAGTAGCAGAAGCCAGGAAATTAAAAGATGTATTGTGATCGGGAAAGTCTGCTGTTAGGGACCTTTCCAAAGTACTGAAAGGCAACAATGTCAGTCTGGAGACAAAGGTGTGCCTGATACAGGCCATGGTCTTTGCAATCACTTGCTATGTGTCAGAGAGCTGGACAATGACTAGTGATGATAGAAGGAGATTTGATGCCTTTGAGTTGTGGTGTTCTAGAAGAATACTGACTATACCATAGATTGCTAAGGGAACAAACAGGTTCATCTTCAAGAAGATTAAACCAAGCTGCACCTTGGAGACAAAGATTCTGAAACTTCGTCTGATATACTTTAGATATGTTGCAAGGAGGACCAATCTTTGTAGAGGCACACCATTCTTGAGAGGGTAGAGGGACAGCACAGGAGAGGAAGACCTTTGATGAGATGGATTGATTCAGTGAATGGAGTCACGGGGGTAGGTGTGTCAGAGACAGATTGGCACAGGACAGAGTTTAGTGCTGTTGTACATAGGAGAAGACACAAATAACTCCATTAAGGAATGACAGAAATGTCATAACAACAGAACCAGAGGAAATTAAATCTGTAATATTTGACTATTGTGAAAACCTGTACTCTGAAAACTTATAGGAAATGGACATTTCTTGAAATTCATGCCCTACCAGAATGACATGGACAAATGTAGAACACTTGAATAGACAGACCCATCACAAAAGAAGAAATTAAGCAGGTCATAAAAAGACTCCCCCACAAAAAAAGTCCTGGACCAAAGAGTTTCATGGCTGAATTCTACCAATCACTCAGAGAAGATCTATCACCAAATCTTCTTAAATTATTTCAAAAAACAGAAAAAGAAGGAACACTCTCAGAGACATTCAACAAAGCAAGCATTACCCCAATACCAAAACCAGGTAAAGACATTACCAGAAAAGAAAACTACAGACCACTATCTCTCATGACCATAGATGCAAAACTCTTTAACAATATCCTGCCATACTGTTGATTCACTTGCAACTCAAAGAAACTCTAAGTACAATAGCTTTGAGGCCTGCCCTATCCAGAGCAAGTTTCATTGATCCCGACACACCTAATCCCATCAGTTATCCTGTCAATCCATCTCATCCAGGGTCTTCCTCTCCTGCATTATACCTCCACGTGTCCAAGTATGATTTCCTTCTCCGAGGACTGGATCTTCCTGGCCATGTGCCCAAAATATGTGAAATGGAGCTTCAAAAGTCCTTGCCTCCAAGGACAAACTTCATTTCACCCTCTCCAAGACAAGCCTATTCTGCAGTGCCACAACTCAAAGGCATCAATTCTTCTTCTGTCATCTTTAGTCATTGCTGAGTTTTCTGAATGCATAGCTTGTTATTGGGAAGACCATGGCCTGAATTAGATGTACAGTAGTTTCTAGACTGATGTCATTGCTCCTCAGCACTCTGGAAAGGTCCCTGATAGCAGACTTTCCTATATAATTTGTCTTTTGCTTTCCTGGCTGCTGGTGCCAAGCATGTTGATTGTGGAGCCAAACAATCTGAAATTGTAAACAACCTCAATCTTTTCTCCATCAATCATAAAGCTACCAATTGGCCCAGTGGTGAAAATCTTTGTCTTCATGATGTTTAGCTTCAATCTATATTGAAGACTACAGTTCTTGACTTTCTGCAGCAAACACTTCAGGTCCTCCTTAGGCTCGGCAAGCAAGGTTATATCATCTGCATAGCACAGGTCAGTAGAAGGCAACAGAACATCAAAAAAATAATACATAATAACCAAGTGGGATTGAAAATATGTATTCAAGAATGGTTCAACATAAGAAAAACAACCAACATAATTTACTATATTAACAAAGCAAATAACAAGAACCTCATGTTCCTAGCAATTGATGGAGAAATGGCATTTGGCAAAATCCAACACCCCTTCCTGATAAAGACATTGCAAAATAAGAATAGAAGGGAATTTCTTCAATATAGTGAAAAGTATATACGTAAAACCAAGAGCCAATATCATCCTTAATGGAAAATGACTAAAAGCGTTTTCCTTGTGAACAGGAACCAGTCAAAGGATGCCTATGGTCACCACTTCTACTCATATTGGAAGTATTTGCATGGACAATATGAAAAGAGAAGGGAAGAAAAGGCATCCATATCACCAAGAGATGGTGAAACTGTTGCTATGTGCAGAGAATATGATAGTGTCAAGTTCACAGGGAGAGAGTCATGCCTGCATTCAACAGTCACAGCTCTCTCGGGAAGTGCCCAGAAAGCAGTTCTTGTATTAGCAGTGACAGAAAAGCCATTGTCCTAAAGTCAAGGAATGTGCTCCACCTGCTTCTGGAAGTTAAGCGGCCTGAGGGCTTTGAGTTCAATGGTCACTTTGGTTCAAAAATCCCCAGCCAGGGATCCAAGAAGGTTTTCTGAATTCGGAGTACAATGAGAGCCTGAAACCTGGATGCAACAGAAAAATCTCAAGGAGTCAACAAAAACAGTGTTAGAGATAGTTGACCAATTTATTAGGATGGCAGATCAATATCCAAAAATTACTGTGATTCCTCTGCAGTAACAGAGAAGGGAACCAAGAAAACAATACTGCTTACAATAGTCAACCAAAAATTGTGATACTTGGGATTGAAACTAACTGAGACACAAAAGACTTGTATAAAAAAACCTACAGAACATTCTTGCGAGACACAATAAAAGACCTATTAAGTTGGAAACTGTTCCCTGTTCATGACTAGGAAGACTCAATATAGTGAAAACGACAATCTTACAAAAAACAATTGACATATTCAACACAATCTCAATACAGATATCAATTCATTTTTCAAGGGAATTAAAAGGAAAATTCTCTAGTTTCTTTGGAAAGGAAAGAGATCCCGTATAAGCAAAGCACTTCTGAGAAACAAAAGTAAAGTGGGAGGCACAGCACTCTCTGACTTCAAAAAAACTACTACACAGCAGTGGTAACCAAAACAGCATGGTACTGGTACAATGACAAACACATACAATAATCGAACAGAACTGAGAGCTCAAAAATGGACCTGTCTAGCTAAGGTCAACTGATATTCAACAAGGAAATATAACTTATCTGCACTATGTAGCACTCAGGAAAAATGATTTTGAAAAATACTATGTCATTTGGGTGAGACTGGAGAGCATTATGCTGAGTGAAACAACTCATTATCATAAGGACAAATACTGTATAAGACCATTTTTATAAAAATATAAGAATAACTAGTAATATATGTATGGAAAGCCAAATGGGGAAAGAGTGGGAGCAGAGGGGTGAGGATGGGTAGGGGTGAAATTACAAGGTTGCACAATTTGCAAGGTGGAGGGGAGAGGTAAAAGAGATGGGAAAGATCCAGTGGGGACTTGAAAAGACTGCTGATGTTAGATGGATCTTAGCTGAAAGCAGAGAATACCAGAGGAATGTCTATCTGTGTTTCATTGATTATGCAAAGGCATTTGACTGCATGGATCATAACAAACTATGGCTGACTCTGAGAAGCGTGGGAATCCCAGAACATTTAATCGTGCTAACGCGAAACCTATATTTGGACCAAGAGGCAGTCGTCAGAACAGAGCAGGGCAACACTGCATGGTTCAAAATTGAGAAGGGTGTATGCCAGGGATGTGTCCTATCTCCATACCTTTTCAACCTGTATGCAGAGCAGATTATCCGAGAGGCTGGGCTCTATGAGGAGAAGAGTGGTGTTAGGATTGGTGGAAGATCTGTCAACAATCTGAGTTATGCAGGTGACATAACCCTGCTCGCTGAAACTGAGGAGGACCTCATGCACTTACTGCAGAGGGTCAAGGACTGCAGCCTTCAGTATGGACTGAGGCTCAATGTCAAGAAGACAAAGATTCTCACCACTGGACCAATTGGTAGCATCAGGATGGATGGCAAAGAGATTGAGATTGTTCACAGCTTCAGTTTGCTTGGCTCCACGGTCAACACTCTTGGCACCAGCAGCCAGGAAATAAAAAAAACGTATTGCGATGGGAAAGTTTGCGGTTAGGGACCTCTCTAAAGTACTCAAGAGCAACGGTGTCTCTCTGGAGACTAAGGTGCGCCTGATACAGGCCATGGTCTTTGCAATCACTTGTTATGCATCAGAGAGTTGGACAGTGCCTAGGGAGGATAGGAGAATTGACGCCTTTGAGCTGTGGTGCTGGAGAAGAGTATTGAATGTTCCATGGACTGCCAAGAAAACAAACAGATCCATCCTAGAGCAGGTTAAATCAGGCTACTCCTTGTAGGCAAGGATTCTGGGGCTTCGTCTGACATACTTTGGACATGTTGTAAGGAGAGACAGGTCCTTGGAGAGGGACATCATGCTTGGTAGGGTGGAGGGACAGCGCAGGAGGGGAAGACCCTCTATGAGATGGATTGATTCAGTGACTGGGGTAATTGGGATGGGTGTGTCAGAGGCAATGCGATTGGCACAGGATAGAGCAGGGTTTAGGGCTGTTGTACATAGGGTCGCAAACGACTCGACAGAACATAACAACAACAACAAAAACATCAAACTGCTCTGAGAGGGGAAAATGGAAAGTCTCCTTCTGTGAGATTTTCAGCCTCTGTAAAACCCCTAGACAGTCAGCTCTGGGTCAGTTCAGAATGGATACCAAAGAGTTGAGTTGATCTGAGGCATAAATGATCTGCAATTCTATAACTCTATGAAATATGAATCAGAAAAACATAGCTCTTTCTTCCTCTAACTCATTGCCTACATGTATTTTTAACATGAATCATTGTCAAGAACCTGCACTGCACTACATGTATTTTTAACGCGAATCATTAGAGTGCTCTTACTCATCTTACCCTCATGCCTTCAAATCGAGATAAGGCTCTTAAAGGTCTTAAAGCTCTTAGTGTTCGCAGTGATTTGATGGCACCAAGTTCTGAGTAGCCAAGAGCATTGGCTACTAAGCTAACCAATGAAACCTGTAGGAGGGGAAAAAAGAAGTTTAAAAAAGCAAACAACAAACCACCATTAATCATTATCATCAAGAAATAAACTGCTGGATGTGGTATCTAATTTTTAGTTCCAGTTAAATAAACCTTCTACGGTGGCAAACATTATCTTCTACATAATGAGATAATCTAGTTGTCTCATAATATTGCTTTTAGTCTTTTCTTCGTTTTTAATAAATATTTATGATGCCCTCCATTTAGATATTTTGCCCTTTTGGGGGCCTTTTTTCACTTGCGTATGTCTCACCAATCATTTGGGCTTTGGTTTATAGTCAGCTCCTCCATAAAGGTGTGTGCATTTTCATTGGCTGGAGGTAGTGTTTCTTTCCTGAATTTATATAGCTTCTTTGTTATGGCCACTGGAGACATTTACTCAATGCAGCAATACTTGGTTAGATATATCTTATCTACTATTCCATGTCACATAAGCTTCTTATGAATAGATAGTCTATCTTAACAGGCCTAATATTGTCTGGCCAAATGTGTATCAGTCAAATTTGTTTTGGATAAATAAATGGGAAACTTTTTACTTTAGAAAACACTTTTCCCCAGATGATATGAGAATTTAAGAATAATTAAGATACTTTTATCCAGAGTACAGAATTTATAATTTGGAATGCAGAGTATCTCATTCATACATCACCTTGATATGTATATGTTAATATTATTTACAAATCTGAATGATTAAAGATTTTGGGGGACTTTAGGATAGAAGGAGAATTGAGGTCTTTGAGTTCTGGTGCTGGAGAAGAGTATTTAGTGTACCACGGACTGCTAAGAAAACAAATAGGTTCATCCTGGAGAGGGTTAAACCAGCCTGCTTCTTGGAGGCAAGGATTCTGAGGCTTCGTCTGACGTACTTTGGTCATGTTGTAAGGAGAGACCGGTTCTTGGAGAAGGACATCATGCTTGGGAGGGTGGAGGGTAAGCACAGGAGGGGAAGGCCCTCTACAAGGTGGATTGATTTGGTGACTGGGGTAATCGGGGTGGGGGTGTTGGAGACAGTAAGATTGGTACAGGACAGAATAGAGTTTAGGACTGTTGTACACAGGGTCGCTATGAGTCGCGGGCAACTCGACGGCACATAACAGCAACAACAACTATAACTTTGATTGTTTATTATATGCTTGTTCTCTTCAAAGTACCTTTTATATATAAATTCTAAGAAATAAGTACTATTACTCTCTCCTTTTCACTGGCAACAAACTGAGGAAAACAATGCACAGCCAATAGAAAGTGGAGCTCGAGTTTAGACTTCCAAATCAGACTTTAAAATCATATTTTAACCACTATGCTAGTCTTGTTTCGAACCTCTGATTTATGTGTTGTAATTTAATCTCTTTTAATAGTAGTTCAAGCTTGATTGATCATAATCACCTATTCCCACAGTGAGTGCTTATAAAGTGGTAGACATCAAATTATGCCACTACTACTAATAGTAGCAATTCTAGCATGATTATTGAGGATGCCGATATGTTAAGAATAAATATCAAAATCCATGGCAGGAATCACTGTTATAAAACTGCTGGAAATTTGAAATCTATATTAAGTTCAGAACATGTTTCTATCTTGCTTTTGCTCACCTAAACACAACAGCCCGTGGGAATTATAATGAGCCCTTGAACAGGCAGAAAGAGAGGACAGATTCAGGTGAAAAACACCAAGCTACATCAGCAACCTAAGTAATCTGTAAAGTGGAAATCATGTATATTGTTTTTGTTATGGAACACTGAGTCGCTTGCGGCTCATAGTGACCCTATGTACAACAGCCCCAAAACCTTGTTCTATCTCTTGCCAATCTGTCTCTGATACACCTATCCTCATTAATCCAGTGACGGAATCAATCCATCTCATCAAGGGTCTTCCTCTCCTGTGCTGTCCCTCCACCCTCCCAAGCATGACATCCCTCTCCAAGGACTGATCCCACCTTGCAACATGTCCAAAGTATGTCAGATGGAGCTTCAGAATCCTTGCCTCCAAGGAGCAGCCTGGTTTCACCCTCTCCAGGATGAACTTGTTTGTTCTCCTAGGAGTCCATGGTATATTCCATACTCTTCTCCAGCACCAAAGCTCAAAAGCATCAACTCTCCTTCTATCATCCCTAGTCACTGTCCAGCTCTCTGATGAATAGCAAGTAATGGCAAAGACATGGCCTTTATCAGGCGCATCTTAGTCTCCAGACTGACATTGTTGCTCCTCAGTCCCTTTGACAGGTCTCTGACAATAGGCTTTCCCAATGCAATTGGTCTTTTAATTTCCTGGCTGCTGGTATCAAGAGTCGATTGTAGAGCCAAACAAACTGAAGCTGTCAACAATCTCAATCTCTTCACCATCTATCATAATGCTGCCAATCAGCCCAGTGGTGAGAATCTTTTTCTTTTTGATGTTGAGCTTCAATCCATATTGAAGGCTTCAGTTCTTGACCTTCTGAAGCAAGCGCTTCAGGTCCTCCTTAGTTTCAGCCAGCAGGGTTGTATCATCTGCATAATGCAGGTCGTTGATGAGTCTACCTCCAATCCTGATGCCACACTTCTCCTCATAGAGCCCAGCCTTCTGGATAATCTAGTCTGTATATAGATTGAAGAGATATGGAGATAGGACACATCCTTGATGCACACCCTTCCCAATTTTGAACCATGCAGTGTTTCCTTGCTCTGTTCTAACAACTGCCTCCTGGTCCAAGTATAAATTTCACAAAGCACAATCAAGAGTTCTTGATTGTTCTTATCCATTCATATATATGCAAAAAGATAACATATTTCATAATAGTTGAATCTTTTATGGAAGTTGTTGCTTCAAGTTGGAATCAACCCATAGCTGACCTTCCAGTGGGTTTTCAAAAGCATCAAGTCCTACAAGGGTTGATTGCCCATATTTCTCCCACTGTGCAGCTGGTGGATTTGAACCATGCACCTCTGTACAGGTAGTGAAACTCCTTACAACTTAGCCACCCGAGCTCTTATGTTAGAATAATTTAGGACCAAAGTTGATGTTATGACGGTAGATTCTTAGACGATTTTGCACAGGGTTGACATTTACGGAAAATCCATAGAGCCACAGAATTTTCTCTCAGATTTTTAAAATAAATTATGATCATGCCTATAGTTCATTGTATGTCCCACATCAGCATCTACAGTGGTGTCTACATGAAGGTAACATGTTTTTGACCTTTGGATAAGAATCATCATAATACGGAATCAGAACTATGATTCATCTAGGGCAATGTCCTGGAAGACAGAAAGATGGATTGAGTTGTCCTCCATGATTTTAACCTGTATTACAATGCTTACTGTTTATCTCTCCATTTACCATTATTTCCACAACATTGTCAGTCAGGATTTTGTCCCTGTCATTTCCTTTAGCATTTTGACTCATGAGATCAGTGTCTTCCATACTGTCACATCAAACAGTAAATTATTTGTGCTTCTATTACTTGACCGCATGCAGTCTTTGACAAAAGTTGACCATGAGTGCATTGAGGGATAGGGGAGTGCGGAGACTACCTTCTCTCGGTTTTCTTTGCTAAGAAAATAACAATGTATATGAATTTTGTACGAAAACCAATATAAATTTTTTAAAGTAAAAAAAAAAGTACATTCTTGGTCTTTATTCACTTTCTTGCTCTTTATTCACTTTGAGAAGTCTCTGACAGCAGATTTTCTCAATGTAACACGTCTTTGGATTCCTTGACTGTTGGTGTCAATGGTGTTGAATGTGGATCTAAGCAAGATGAAATCATTAACAACCTCAATATTTTCTCCATCTATCATGACTGGCCTAGTGGCAAAGATTTTTATTTTCTTGACGCATACTGAAGGCTTTAGTCTTTGATCTTTTCAGCAAATCTTTCAGGTTCTCACTTTTAGCAACCAAGGCTGTGTTATCTGCATAATGAAGGCTGTTAAGTCTTCTTTCATTCTTGATGCCACGTCTTTCTTCATGAAGTTCAGCTTCCCTAATGCTTTGCTCAGCATATGGATTGAGTAAGGATAAAGGATACTTCCATGTATCGATAAATTTTTAGAACAATGCTGAGATTTATCTGTATTCATGAAAGACTGGCCATGGACACTTAAGTCATTGTGGCCATATTAAAAAGAACTTGGCATATTTCTTGTCATGTTAAGGGTTAAGCACACTTTTGTTATATATTGTGAATATGTATATGGAGAGGGAGGGAGGGACAACAGAATTTAGAAAGCACAAGATTTGTAAAAAATTAAAAAAGAATGAATGTACACGTACAGACATCACTGATTCATACCAGCAAGCATTAGCGCTATAAATAAAGTGCCCTATGATTGCTAGGAAACAAAGAGATCATGCTTTTAGCACCTTGTTTGGTTGGGAGGCTGTGAAGCTGTACGGTGCAATAGCACTGACTACTAAGAACTAAAGGACTGTCATTTTATCCCAGAGTCCTCTGTCACTTGGAACAAAAAAGTAGGCTGCAAGTTAGGTCCCATAATTGGCAAGGTTCCTATGACTTTGTCCCTGAGATAATTGGTTTCAGATTAGGGTTCCTCTACAAAATTCTTTGTGCATTAAATTTCTGATTAGCTTTTGGCACACATAACTACTGATTTAAGAATGGATATGTGTATTACTGCCTCCGCAGATATGTGCTGAATGAGTGGTTTACTTTAATTTAAAAATCAGCTAATTTAACGTTAGTCACGTATACTTCAGAAATGAACTAAAGTGTAATTTTCACAATTCCTGACCCCACATACATCTTGATTTTACATCTGATGATTTCTAAAAGTGGAATTCTTATTAATGTATGTAGTTTGATTTTTTCAATGCGCAGATTGTTTAGCTATCCCTTACTCTATGGTTATCGTTTAGAGTAATAAGAGCTCTCTGTGCTATAATAAACCCCTATTTTCTTACTGCTATGCACATTTTTAGGACCTCCTTTACCCTATTTCATAGTACTTTCCTTATTGTTGCATTCATTATCATTTATATATATAAAAATAGAACCCCAAAACAACAACAAAAAAAGACAACCCACCCTCCAAAACTGAGTAAGTGTGTCAGCATTGTTGAATCTGTTATTGTTTTTTTGGTGCCTTTGAGATAACTACAACTCAGAGTGACCAAGACCAGGAGATCATAGGAACAACAGATCTGAGCCTTGCCCCGCCCTGCACCTTTCTTGTGATCTCTGCCATGTTTAATCCCATTGTAACAGTCACTGCATTAATCCGTCTCACTGAACGTGTTCTTTCTTTCATTCCAAACTTTCCAGCTTGATGTCTTTTTCCAAGGACCAGCCCCTCCTGTTAACATGCTCAAAGTGTATAAATTCCCCAAAATCAATATTTTAATCTTAAATATATGAAATGTCAACTTTTCCCCTTTTAAAAAAATTATTTTATTTAATGCAAGTACACTGTGTTTTTTACAGTCTTTCATTTATATTGTGTTTCATACAATCATTCACGTACATTGTATTTCATATAACAAATCACTATTGATCTATGCTTATTATCACCCCATCTCTTCAAATAATAATCTCATATAATTCCTAAGCATACTTACATCAACAATCAAGAAATCCAACCAGCACCAGGCATTAGTGAAATACGTTTGAAATCCATAGGCTACCCATTTGAGAAGCATTTCCAGAATAAATATGTAAGTGAAGACCTTGTCAGCATATTCTAGCATCGTTTTGATAGTCTTTCGTTGTTCAATGTATATGTCTTCAAATGCCTGTGAACCAAGAATACTTTTTATTTTACCTAAATGCACGCCTTCCTCAAACACGTGATAAAACCGCTTAAGGAGCATAAACCAGGAATTTAATAAATAATGCCTAATAGAAAACAAACTTTGATCAATTCTGGAAAAAAATCTATAGTATGAAATCTTAGTGACAAAAATATTGGCAAGAAAATATCAGTGTTTTTACTGTAGCTACAATTTACTGTTTAAGATGTATTTTATTTTATTCTGCCTTTCACTCCAAAGTCTATCTGTAGTTACTGCTAAAAAGACATGCTTTTAGTGAGGTGCTATGACCTCAGAAAATGATCAGACATTTGGATAATAAGGAATCGAGCGGGCCAATTCAGCATGAATTACTTTGATTAACTCAATGATCTGGCTTCTTTTAAAAGAGCAAATTGATTAGTAATGAAGAAAACACATTACACTTTATTTCATAGATTTTGTTAATATGATTATTTGGAAAACTGGATTGTATTTGACATAGAAGGTAACGTAGTTACAAAAAGTCTGCAAATGGTTGTCTCAGTGAGGGAAACATCTGTTAGATAAACAGCAGATGAGCAATTCCATCTGGCTATTTCATTGGTCTGATCTGTTCCATACTGAATATTGCATAGTTAAATACTGATTGCCAGCCTTTGCAAATCATTTATGTAATTTCTTTTAAAATGCGTACATGATTCTGGTTCTTTGTGGAGTATAATCTCTTTCACTCGAAGTACATTCTCTCCAACACACATTTCACTTACCAAAGCACCACTGCTGAGCAGGATCATGAAGACAATGAACGTTTCAAACCAGTTGTGCTCAACGATACTGTAGCAGGTTTTTCGAAGATTCCACCAGATTTTTCCTTTGCCTTCTTCTGTACTTACTTGGCAAAATGGAAACTTCTTAATACAGCCTAAGAATGATATTCATTTTAATAAATCAGAAAATTATATTTTCATAACAAATAGGAAGAATCTTTCTTGCTTTCTGCTCCAATTTTCATTTTATAGGATGCTTTGATACCTCGTTGCCTGATTATCTTTACTCCCTTCTTTATGGTGAATCATACTTCAGGTTTAAATGACTTTGTTCTTCAAGACAGTTAGTACCTCTTTTTGCCTCAAGGCCATTGGTGGAAACAGATGTACCTTTTCAATTTGGGGTAGAGCTACATGTTCAGAACTACATGTTCTTTATATTTTGATTTTCATTCTGTTTTTCTTAAACACACACAAAAAATCCCTCTCTCTTGTTTAGGTATCAGCCACTGTCAGTTTTCACTGGCTAATTTTTGTTCAGTCTCACTTCTTTCCTTAGTCACACTTCTGGCTCACCCTGTCAGTCAGCATCTTATTCTTTCATACTCTCACTCTTAGCCTGCATATTATTTCTAACTTCCCTCCAGTCTTCTGTTTATCTCTCCGAGCTACTACTCATCAGAGTAAATCCACTCACAGCTAACCAACAAATCTTTATTAATCTGTAAAACATCTGAAAAGCACTGTACTGGTTGCTGTGAGAACAACTGTAGTTCTGCGGAAATGATATAAAAAAAATTCTAGAGACAGAACAATTTAACCATATTTGAAATAGTAAGGGATGAGATTTAATTATTTTAATGTCTATAAATTAAGGCACGACAATGCAAACGACGTCTGAAGGGAGAAAAGAATAAGGTAACACTGCAGAATGTCAGTTATCTCAAAGTTCCTGGTTACCCACATTGTGGAGGAGAAAAGGACAGATTTCACATCAGCTAAATTATTCAAGCACAGCTACTATTATAGTCTAATATATGGAACTATATAGAGAGAAATTATTTAAGAGTAAAAATAAAAGAGTAGATAAGTATACTTTATACATTAAATTTATTTACGGAATGAGGCGATAGTGTATGTAATCATATTAGAAATTGTTTACCTTCAGTAAAACAAGCTTCTGGTTTCATATCCTCCTCAGGTTCAATTTCTGCTTGTTCACCTTCTCGGGGTGGAGCAATATCAACTGTGCTTCCTTCAGACGAACTTGTTGCATTTAGTTTCTAGGAAAAAAAATCCCATTGCAAAGACATGATTTTCTCCCCTCTTAGTAAGCTAATTTGGAAACTCTGTCATAGTGCAGGAAGTTGGAGTGGTAGATTTGACACTGTAAACATCACTCATAATTATGTAGTAATAATTTAACAAAAGGAAAGTGCTACTATTTAAAACAAGGTAACTACTAACTTGATTTACATAGAAAATGCTGATAGTAAGGCTAGGCAGCATTCAGTGTGGTTGAATTGGAAAGGATAGATTATACTGACTAGCTTGCTTAATAATATCTCTGTGTTTGTGAATGCCATATCAAACTATTCTAATAAATCAGTTCTCTGGCTAAACCTAACTAGTTTGATAAAATTTGACCTCTTTTACTGATTATACTCATTGAAAGCAGTAATTTCCACCTTTTCAGATGGAAATTTTTAGAGGGCAAAGAACATGACCAGTTGTTTCTAAGTGCTGTCCATGTTTCTATAATTTTAGAAATAATGGGTAGCACATTAAGATTTGTCACAGTCATTATACTTCAACTTGGAGCTATATTTTTCTCAGGCTTACATAACTTTTTCCTTACTAGCAGAGAAATGATGGATCTCCTCTTTTTATAACTGCTTAAATGAATTTGATACTTGCAAAAGAACTCTAAATGAAATGGAAATTTCTCATAAATGGCATTGTCCAGGATCTGTGTGGACATTCATTAGGAGCACATTTTGAATTCAACATGTGATCAGGCTGCAGATTCTTCTTTTAAATAAATCACAGTGACATGCCACATGGATAGAAAGAGCCACTTTGATGTCAAAAGCATAAATATAAGAACTCTGAGATCACTTAGACATTAGGAGAACACAATGTGTTACGAAAACTGATACAAAGACATGGCACAAAGCACAATCCATGTAATGTAAAGCTTTTAGAATGAAAGGACAGTGCATGGACGTATTAGTGGTTTCAAAGACTTCACATTCATTTTAGTCGCTATTAATGCCAGGGTAATTCTGTCCTAGACTTCTCAAAGAGTTAATATATTATTCAGAAAGTTTCACAATTCCCTAAACAAAGTAAACTGGGGAAAATGAATCTAACCATTTCCAGTTTGCTTAAATCACGATGCAAATGCAACTGAACATTTTTAAATATGACTAGAATATTATCCAGATAAGCCTCTCTATGGTTTTACTCTGAAGGTGACATTAACCATGTACAACTAAATATATTATGAAAATATAATTTTATAATGTAGTCCCTCCTAGTAATGAGCATGGTAAATTCAAATTGAGATCATCATTTTTAGCTGATGATTCTCAGGGTCATTGTGTTGTTGTTGTTGTTGTTGTTGTTGTTGTTAGGTGCTGTCAAGTCAAGCCTGACTCATAGTGACCCTATGAACAGAAGATCTGAACCCTGTTCTATCCTGTGCCATCCTCACACTTCCTGACACACAGCAGCCCATTGCAGCAGTCACCGTGTCAATCCATCTGGTTGAGGGAATTCCCGTCCTTCACTGACCCTCCACCCTTCCCAATACCATGTGCTTCCCCAAGGAATAGCACTTCTAGCAACATGTCCAAAGTATGTGAGACGAAGCCTCATCATTCTTGCCTCCGGAGAGAAGTCCAGCTGCACCTTCTCCAAGAAATAATCTGTTCATTCTCTTGGCTGTCCATGTTCAGTGCTCTCTCCAACTTCTACTAATAAACTCCTCTAGGTCTTGTGGATGTAGAATACCTACATGCATTTTCTTACAGTTAGGAGAACTTTATTTCCTTAAAAAGGCCTCAGAGATGAAATCAGTTAGGTGGGGAAATGACAGCCTTTTTAACAAATGGTGTTGGCAAAATTGGAAAACTATCTGCAGAAGAATTAAACAAGATCCCCACCTCACTCCATATACAAAAACCAACTCAAGGTGGATCATGGACCTAGGACTAAAACCAA